TGGCTGTTTTATTGGTGGTGCGGTTGTCCCGAAGCAATATTCCTCGAGAGGAAGACCACAAAGCCCTGCGTTCCTTTCAAAAGATGATTTAGGTTGCCCTGTAATCTGTGTTCCTTGTGGTATTTCACCCTTGAGTTGGTTATGAGACACGTTTACGTACGCCAAAAATGAGAGGGTCCCAAGTCCATTAGGAATAGTCCCTGAGAGTTGGTTGCTTGAAAGGTCTAGTGATTCGAGCTCCGTAAGATTGGCTAAAGACAGAGGGATATGGCCTGTGAAGGCGTTGTTCGATAAGTTGAGCGCAATTAATCCCTTCAAAAGACCAATTGATTCGGGAATCTGTCCTTCAATTCTGTTTCCAGAGAAATCAATGGTGCTATAGGAAGTAAGGACCTTCCCGTGCTCCATGAACATACCTTTGTATTGCAAATCTATGGTATCTTCATAGATATAGGTATTCTTATAGTCTCCCATGTAGATTCTCCCGTCTTCCTCCATCTGGAATGATGATGCTTTCCAGTTCACAAAGTAATCTGGTGGCAAGCTTCCTGCAAAGTTGTTATCCGAGATCTCAAGTATGCGCAGCTCGGGAAACGCAAGAGCACCTTGATCAGGAGGAGATATAGGACCATAGAACTTGTTTGATCGGAGAGTAAGGGCTTCCAAATCTGGTAAAGCCTTGAGCCAGAAAGGAAATGTGTCTTTGATTCTGTTGTGGTCCAGACTTACAAACTTTAACGAGGAGCAATTCAGTAGAGACCTTGGGAGCTTTCCAGTTAGTTGATTGTAACCAACGTCAAGTGTCCGAAGCGAGGCCCCAGCATAGAACATGTCCGGAAGACTTCCTTCCAAGTTGTTCTTCCGAAGATTCAGTACAGTGAGAGAGCTTTGGAAGCATGGAGGAACTGGACCGGTAAAGTTGTTGTAGGATAGATCAAGAACAGTAAGAGAGCTTCGGTTGCAGGTTGCAAGAGGTATGTTCCCTGTGAAACTATTGTTCCATGCAGATAAGAGGTTGATGGAGAGTGGTGGATTAGGAAATGGTCCTTTAAAATGGTTTAAATCCAAATCTAAAATCTTCACTGATGAATTCACTAAAACTTCCGCCGAACCTTCTAAATCGGTGAAAGAATTATTAACAAGACTCACAATGCTCAGGCGAGGAAGCTTCCAAAACCACTCAGGGACTTTTCCTTTGATTTTATTGTTGGAAATGTCTATAACCTCCAAGTTATGAAGGCTCTTTAAGAATTTTGGGAAATGGCTCATGTCGCAACTCAACAAGACCAATCTCTCTAGGTTCAGTGGGATTTCTGAATCTGTGCTTAAACTGGCAGGTGATAAACGATTTCCAGAAAAATGAAGATACAACAAAGCTTTGAGAGAGGAGAAGAGTCTTAAGTCAGTCGGATAGCTGATGTTTAAGAAAGAAAGGTCGAGATCTTTGAGGTTGATGAGCTTTGAGATAGGCTCTAGAATCTTCCCTTCAAATTGGTTATGCCCAAGGAACAAGTGTTCAAGCCTCGATGACGAAGAAGAGTTGGGAACTTCAATGGGGCCCGTGAGATAGTTTCCACGGAGATCAAGATGTGACAAGAAAGGCATCATGAGTAAAGAAGAAGGGATGGTTCCAGAGAAGTGATTATATGAGAGGTCTAAAATGGAGAGCCTGGTAAGGTTTTGAACAAGTTGGAAACTACCAGTGAGCTCGTTATGGGAGAGATCTAACTGGGTTAACAATGTTAGGGTACTAAACGAGGAGGGAACTTTGCCAAATAAGCCATTAGAGGAAAGAGACAAGACCTCTAATCTGTTGAGATTTCCGAAACGGGGAGATAGTGAAGAGGAAGTGAAGTTGTTATGAGAGAGATTAAGGTGACGTAGGTGATGCAAACCGAAGAGGCTACTGTTGGGATTCAGAGTTCCAATGAGGCAGCCAGTAGGGATTTGTAGCACTGTGACAACACCTGTGGCGTTATTGCATCGGACACCATCAAGGTAGTCACTGTGGTTGCATCCATGGGAATCAAACTCGTCCTTGAACTGCAGAAGTGCTTGAATCTGGTCTGGACGACAAGTACGAGCACTGATCATTAAGAAGTTTGAAGTGGAGACATAGCAGAGTAAGAGTAGTGAGAGAAAAGGAAGATGCAATCCTGATATGGTCGTCATGAAAACCTCAATTAAGAAGAATGATATCGTTTAAGCAAAGAGACAGAGATGCAAATATGGTTTTTGCATTGATGATGATAATTTTATTTAATATCTCTTCTTCTTCTTTTTTTGCTGTGTGCTTGTTGATTTTTGGTTCAAGCACATCAAATATTCAAGTGACACTTAACTACTTTGTTGAAACAATATTTTCTCATTAATTTTCCTAATACTATTACTTTGAAAAAGTGTGTGGTTGCTAATAATTTGTTTCTGGATTGGAGAAGACTCATTCAAATTCCAAAGAGTTGGTAGACTTAGTGCTTTACAAAGAATAACTGACATTGATTTCTTTGTGGATTGGAGAATAAATTGACAAATTACATTTCTCTGTGTAGACTCTGTCTCTTTGCTCATGAGTTTCCCTTTCAGTCCACCAGCTCCAGAAACAAGGCAGACCGTGGAGAGGCTCGAACACAAGGATCCGCAGAATCTGGAGCTATGCATCAGCGAAAATATATTTCTCTTGGTATGTTTGTTTGATTCCTTTTAACCATTTTATGAGAATTCATGAGTTCGGAGTTTGATTTGTAAGGATTAGTGTCAGTTATAATTGAGAGACAGCTTGTGAGAGATTATCCATTTGTATACACTCTAATCTGAGAATATTAGTTTTAATTGTGAAGCAGATTGTTCTATTTTGTTACTCCTCTTATGATTTAAGTTTGTTTATTCACATTAAACTGATTTGTATCAGTCGTGAGTGGTAGCATTTACACTCAAAAAGGGATCTCATGAATATCTGGTCTGAGATTATATTCCTGAGACCTGTTATAGTCTCTAACTCTTATGTTTACTTGATCCAGTGTGTCTTAACAGGAAGCTAAAAACGGTGTGGTGTGTTATGAAACTTCAGTTCGAGTCAAATCAAGAACCAGAGAAGAACCAAAGCAGTATATGATAAGCCTCTTTCTCAACAATTTACCAAGACATGATCAGACAAAAGAGAGATCTTACTTGGTAAAACCTCTTTTCTCACATCAGGTAACAAAATATCACTTTCTAGTTCTACGGTATTCTTATATTAAAACTGTCAAATCTGAGTGACATAATATTGAAAGGAACATAAGTTTATTGAATTGGATTTCTTAGATTTTAAGGGTTAAGCAGCTCGGACTGTTTAGTAAAGGGTTTTAGGTCTATCTGAAGTTTGTATATACTGTTTGTTTGTATCCGACTCTTTAGGCACTGATTCATGAGGAAAAGCTAGTGAAGAATTTTTTTTTTTTTTTTGTATACATATGGTGCTTGATTACATAAACATGAACTACTTGACAGAAATTTAAAGATCAAACGCAAAATAAAAGTAAAATCCTAATGGTTTTTTTGCCTGTTGGGACCCAATATCTTGACGAGCTACTCTGGTTTGTATAAAACAATAACGGTTTCTTAACGGTTTCTAAGCCTGTTCGGACCAAACAACAGTCCTATTGCCAATCCAAACAACAGTCCAGGACCATACCCTATGACCGCTGCTTTCCAGTTCAACA